TGTCTCCGACTCAGTATATATATACTCTCTCCCTTCCTCTCCCCTTTTTTACTCATTCCGTTATCCTCGACGACTCTTTGGGTTGCCTTACATGCAGAGACTGGTCACATAAAGACTCGCCGGTTCGTCTATTCCACCACCGGATCCCTTCCAACCCTTTCGTCTGTTTCTTTTCTTTTTTTTTTTTTGTGGAGAGAGCACCGGGATTTCTTTTGATTCTCAGAATCCGATGAACGATTTACCTGCGCTGGGTGGCACAAATCCATATCCGCTCGCGCCTACGATGACGCCGCTGGTGTCAGCTGCATTGGGTGGCGGCCCAGGTGGGAATAACACCGGACCTACGAAAGAAGAAACGCATTAACGTGTTAAAATGTGTACTTTCGCAATTCCGCTTTAAAGACTGCTAGAGATCGTTCTCACGATTGTTTGTCTCGATACCAAAAAATGCAAACTTTATTTTTTATTTCTGCATTTCCTCCGGGTGAATGCGTTAAAATTTTTTTAACGGCAATCTTGAATCACGTGAGAAGAAGAAACGCCTGTTATCCTTGGGATAATTTTCGCGAATAGATCTTTACCATTGTTTTGATAAAATCGTCGATCAAAAATTTATAACGAAATATGATTGGTACCGTGATACAATAGCATACTCATTGTAAATATTCTTTAATGGATCTATTGATCTTCAATGATCTATAACGAGTGGTATTTACAATGGTATACGAGATCTACACGATCATTATCGACATGATCATTTGACGTTTGAAAGTGAATCGAGTTGATTGGACACTTGCTTCAGTTACGAAGATCATTGGCTTTCATGGTCACTGGCAAAGCAACGATGCGCGGTTAATCGCACATGGTAAACATAGTATCATTAAATGTAACGTTAAAACAACTTTCGATTAACCTTATTTAACTGAAAGCTTTTATTCAATATAACACTAAATATACATTTCTTTAAAATTATTCGACAAATAATAAATGTACAATTAATACGTTTACGTAAATTATTAATAGTTATGATTAATAGTTATGAATTATTAATAGTTATGATGATTAATAGTTATGATGATTGCTGCAAAAGATATATATTTTTTTATTTATTTTTATTCCAATGAAAACAAATAATATTTATTTATTTATTTTTATTCTAATAAAAACAATAATTTTTTCAATATTCAAAAAAAGTTTTAAAACTGCCTAATGTAAACTTTCTAAACAAAAATTGTCTCCAAATTATTTGATCGATTGTGCATATTATATTATTTAACAAACCACAACTAATAATAAGTGGCATAGTGTTACGTGGTATTAAAGGAAGTTGAATTTATCTACGAAGGAGTAGTGGAAATCCTTTCTAACACACTTCACGAGGAAGTTGCTTGTATACCAGTATTATTAATCGACTTACCGACATGATATTATATAGAGATGCAGATACTATCTAGATTTATTGAGATAATTATCTTGGCGGTCATGGCACTTGGGTAACAAATGCTGATTTTGTCTAGTAGTCTTCTCTTGTTATTACTATGAAGTACAGAATATACTGTAATACTCGCGAGGCGAGTCTGGTGAGTAATCGTTATGAATATTCAGCAGCAAAAAAATGAACAGTTTGTTTAACTGACGTAGGCTTCCGATCTTATCCCAATAATCGTTTCTAAGCAGTAGTCTTGATATAATGAGAATTATGAGAATGGAAGATAAATTGAAAGCATTGATCATTTAGTACTACGATTTTTTTTCAAAGTTAGATAGCATCATAAAAACTACAACAGCCTAATGTTCGAGTTAAATAAAAAGTATAAATATTACAAAATGAATAATAAACATATGCTCTTACATTTTCTACAGTGCGTTTAACTAGGACAGTTAGTTTTTGTATTGGCAAATTAAATGTGATTTATGTTGCCCAGACTACTTGTTCAGCATTCTATCAGACACATGATACATGACGCATTACTTATTGTACATGAATTTGAACTTGACACTTATTTCAATATCGATTATTATGTGCATACCAACACCCGAACATGTTGCAAGGATCATATATATATCCTGTCCATGGCATTTAAATAATGTAGTTCGATTAACTTTAGAAGTAACAGCGTAAAATTTTTTACGTTTATACTAAACAATCTAAAATAATCATATCAAAATGGATTTCAGAATTAATCATTCAGAATAGATTTCAAAGTTAAAGAAAATGTTATTTATAAATATAAGTATAAACGTAAAAAATTTTATGCTGTTACTTCTATATATATAATTAATAAAAATGTCATAATTTGATTAAAGGAATTATGTGTTTAATAGAAACGAACTGGTTAACATAACATGGTCAGAAATTTGCCATAATTCACAACATTCATATATGAAAGTAAATGGCTTGCCTTTCCTTCCGTTACGCGTCCACGTGTTTGGATAAATCTCTAGTTAGGCTTGTTGTTCCGGTAAAAGTTCTATACTATCTAAGCAAGATAGATTCTGCATCAATAGCGGACATTACCCACACAATTCGATTCAAACTCGTTCCTCTCGATCGCAATCAGTCATTTGATTATACGACATTGTGTACTTCAAAGAGCATTCCTCTTATATCTTAGATCTTTACAGCTGAATGAACATAAACCGTCATAAAAATGATTGTTATATTGTCAATTGTGCATGGAATGTTATATAAATGAACTTGGTAACTACGAATAATGAGCATCTACTAATCTCCTAAGATATTTTTATAAGACTGTATATTTATTTCATCTCAATTTCTCAACAACAAATTTCTTATTAAAAACTATTAAGATTAAATATTAAAAAATTAAATAAAATAAAATTAAATTAAATTAAAATTAAATTAAACTAAAAAATTAAATTAAAAAATTAAAAAATTAAATAAAATTAGTAAAATTGTTGTAAAACTTCAGTTTACTGTATAATTGTACGCTTTGCTACGCTATGCTTTAGTTTTACACAGTTAACACAAAACAATAATTATAGTCTGTTACATCTTTCAATAACATCGTAAGCGAGACTTTGTTTCTTAGAAATCTTTCACATCGAGGAAGAACTTTCGAACGATTGAGGAATTCTAGCGAACAGTATTGGAATGCCTATCGTTACCTGCGGATAAAATGAGGCCGTTTCTTCGCGGCGTACGCAAATAGAAGAAAACATAACAAGAAATTGTCGTAATTATACGATTCTCAGCTTCCTGATAACATAGAAGATGTACAAGCGGGAACACTTCCGAAGCATATCGTAAACGGTAATAGTACTTCGAGTACTCGGATACTTCGAGAGATTTAATAACAAAGTATGCAGAAAAAAAGAGGAAAGCATAATTGTTTTGTAGCGAGCAATCGGGTACAATAATAATATACCGACGAATCATTTTTAACATTATGTAAATTGACGTAGTCTCAGTTATAAAAGGTCATCTCAGAAACTCATAAACGATATTAGAAATCTATACTTGATCAGCTTACAATTTTATAAAACATCAACAATATAATACATATTATAATTTTTAAAAACAACATACATTATAATATATATCAATTCTCTTTTAGTTTAAATTTAAGTTTTGGTCGATAAAGCTATTAGCCGTTATTTTCATAAAAACTCCATTATATAATCTCGGTTGTTGTTAAAATAATTTACCTCTATTCGATCTCGCATCCCTCAGTACCGAGGTTCGAAGACTTCCGTAAGGACCAAATCCCGCGAAGAAATGCCTGAAGTCTTGCGCCGTGACGCTCGTCAGGATGGCCATGACGAATGCGACTAGAATTATCTACAATTAAAAAGAAATTCGTTATTCTCACAAAATGTGCAACTTAGAATAAAATCTTTTCTCTGCACTTTATACGAAACTAGATAAATTTCATAAGTGAGATAGCAAATCTACCTGACAATAAGATATATAAATTTATTCCAAATCTTTAAGAAAGAAGCAAGAATATCTCATTTTAATTTCTAAATTGTAGAAGGTTGTGAAAATTGTGCAACAGAAGCGTAATGGAAAAGGAAAAGCAGCTCTAACTTGGATGTTTAATCTTACGTTTTTGAATCGTGTTATGAAATTGTGCAGCAACCGCCTCTTGTGAATCGCAAATGCGATACGATATCACGCTGAGAAAGAATCTTTTCCTATGAGCAATCACACGGTATATTGCAGCGATTTACATAGTTGGTACACAGGATGAAAACTAGATCGAGGAACCAAGTACATATTTTTTTCGCTCGTTTCTAGACGTCTACTCTGCCAGTTATTAATTATAACAAAGTAAGAATGCTTTTGCGTGGCATTTAATCAGTCGAATTCTCACGGAGCAACAGCTGCTTGACGAAACTTGTTCTTCGTAGCGCAACGAGCAAACGAATCATCACGCGAGTATGTTCGACCGTTATTTCGGCTATCCGAAAAAAAAAATAACGCCGTTATTACGATAATTATCGGTGTACCTTGCCACTAGAGCCGAGTCCGTGCCGAGTCTAGCCTGTCAGGTGCTAAATAATGATACTACCCACATAATGACATTAAGTATAGGCTTTAAATTATCGAGATAGGCTTTAAGAACGAGCAGAATATTGGTCGCGCGGTCATGCGTCCCTCGTTGAAACTTGCGCTGTAAAAGTCAGAATTATATCCCTTTACCTACACTCTGACAACCCGTACGCTCTCTCTGATCTGTGAAATTATATCGTCCGTGACGAAGGTGCGTGACAATTTTTACGATTGATCGACCACGTTTCTAATGTACAGTTTCCACTGCGGGCCGCAGAAATTTACGACTCCACGGCACACTTTTCCATGAAGTATTTACAAGCAAATACATATATACCGCTTAACGTTTCCATTTCGTCGAGAACTCGCGCGTTTATAATTGGCCAGAAATTGTGGATGCGTTACGAAAAAATTTTATTTTTCTTTAGCGCGATTTCCTTTAGCGCTGCCTCTTATTAATAACAATTTTCAATTGACAATAATTTTTTTTATCGTAATTTTTTTTACAACTTCTGGAAATTCATTCAGTTACATCGCGTATTCAATTTTCTTCATCAATCTATCGCGCTCCCATGATGTCGTAAGGCAAACACTGTCACAATCAAATTAACGGAGTTAGCCACAAGGACTCTCGTCAAATTAGGATGACGTAAACTGCGTTATGCATTCGCTTTGAAAATCCGTTATCGCGCCATGAATTTTATGTCCTTGCGTAAATATAAAAAGATGGAGCAACTGGGAACGAAACGTCGGGGCCGAATTTCTTTCTTCCTCGAGATATCGTTTTCTTACGTAAAGCTTCTGATGAAATCGTTACAACCGATTTACGAATGATGCCTTTCGACGACGTTCGAGGTATCAAACGCGTCGACGAGAAGATCATCGAAGGACACCACTTCTCGATTGCAATTATGAAGTCGGTTTCTCGAGGTAAACACTCGGATAATATAAAGATTACCTCGATCGACAAGCAATGATCGTTGGCAAACCGAGTTTGCCATGGTTCATTTCGCGAGATTTCTGTATCAAAGGCAAGGTGAGCCACCGCCATGGCCGCTTTCTGTCGAGTCTCTTTTCGCGTGGTTTTCTTTCGTCGGTGCAATGTCAAGGCAAATCGGTTGGTAGCTTGCCTTTAAAATCGAGCGAGTTGTGCGCGATTTCTCGGAACGGAATTTCGCCGCGGACTAATCGTGCGAAAGCAGATACGTACGCGTTTCGTTAACAGAAATTCCGAGACCGGCGATTTTTGCTTTAACGATCCTCGGATCGTTGGGCTTCTGGGATTTCAATCGCGACGATATCCTTTTACGCGGCAACGATCGATAATCGTTACAGTAGGAAATTAACGGCGGGACGTGCAATCAACGATTTATTATCTATTTGCTGTTGGTGCATGCCGCGAATCGTTTCAACGCTCGACATTTCGACATACAATTCCACGCAGCCGGATTATTATCTTATAAGCGTAATGCAATAATATGTTGCCGTTAACGAAGCGTAATTGATGGGCCGAAAAGCGCGGAATGAAGCGAACATTCGGCGAAATAACGGAATAACGGATCGTATCACCGAGAATAAACCGCGGAAAGACAAGCTAATGGCGCAGGCTCAGTTGCGGGACGGCAGATTGACAGCGCTTTTAATTAATAATGACCATTAAAAAAGCGTAAACGCGCGGACTGCTATTTACGACTTTTCCACAAACGCACGCTTTCTTGTTTCTGATTCTTATCGGGTCGCGTGCCTCCACGCGTAACTCACTTTGTTAATCAACCATCCAATGAACAACTATCGATCTCGTCAACTGACGAGGTACTCAAGTAGAACAAGAAATTATATAAAGATCAGGATGACGTTAAAATGATATCATTTTGACATCATTTTGACGTCATTTTGACGTCATTTTGACGTCATCTTGATCTTTATATGATCTTTTTTTGTTCTATTTGGGTAGTCATGCGTAAAAAAATCATATTGACACAAATTAACAGAGCGAGAAATTAACACATTTTAGAATTAAATATAACACGTGTAAGGCGTGATTAAAATATGCAGAGAGAATTTAAAATAGGTAGTAATATTTTATATATAAACGTGTATTGGAAGAAACGCTATGAAAGAAAGTGAATTTTATATTAACGTATATTGATTCGAAAATTCTTAGATTTTCCATCAATGCCACTTTAATTTTTGAAATTTTTTTTATTTTAGCGAAGATGCTAAATGAGGTATCAGATACAACGATATTTTAACCTAAAAAAGATTAATTTTTTATTTCCTACAGCTAGAATTCGAAATAAAAAGCATTCAAAAGTAAAAGCAGTAATAAAAAATTTTAAAATTTTACTATTTATTTGTCGAGTTTACATACTGCCGTCTATTTAAAAATTCTGGATGTAAATATAAATTATAATAATTATATCAGGTCGCGAATAATTTTTTCTGTTTTTTTTACGCGATAGTGAGATAGACGAAACGAACATTGTGTGACAATTCATAATTCATAGAACTGCTGTCATACAACACATTAATTCTTTGAAACACAATTCAATCTTAGTAATTCTATCTTTCTTGGAAGTTTTTCATGTCGCCGCGGCTTGTCATTGTCACGCAACAACAAAATTAGACGCAAGGATCGAAACACGCAGTACGCGAAGCAGAACTCGATTTCGCGAAATTATGAGCAATCTCGCGAGATTCAGCGCTCATTATGACACCGCAGTTCCATTTCTATTCAGACAGCGCGAAGGCAAGGTGAAGGCGAGGCACTCTATCTCTAAGGATGTTGAGATCCGAGATGTAACGGAAGATGAGACGACCGGAGAAAATCCTTCCGGAGAAGATTCGGATTCGCGATTACGACACAACGATTGGTCTAGCGGAAATTCGATGACAATGCGAATATCGAGGAGAGAGAGACCGCGAGCGCGAAGCAAAGGAAGCAAAGGAAGTAATTTAGAGAGTGCGCGTCGCACGCGCGGCGGCATCGCCGCCTTCGTTTCTGCGAGGTCGCCCACAAAGTGCGGCACACATGTGCGTAAGACCGTGACGTGAGATCACGCCGGCCAGATATCTCCGTCCGCGAACACGCGGACGATCGTGAGGGAAGAAAAAATACCGTACGGCGCATACGACGGTGTTTCGCGGCGATTTCGCATAGCGATTTGTTTTACGGCCGCGAGACGATATCCGCCGATCGACCGGCGCCGATCGTTTTACCCACGGGAAAGAAAGAGAGAGAGAAAAAAAAACGATACGTCAGAGAAATGCGGGCGGACGGTGCGGTTTGTTTCATTACGCGGACGGTATTTCATCCCGCTGCTTTGTCTCCGCGAACTCGGCGATCCATCGGACGGACGGAACGGCGATGAATATTCATCATTCGTGTTGTAATAACTCACACGCGCGCATCTCGTCGCCGGTATTTATGGGATTAGAAAGACGGCGAAAAATATTGGGAGGGATGTCACAGTCGCGATACATCGCGAGGACTTTTAATAAATTAATTTCTCCCTTTTATCCGAGACGGAAATTTAGAAAGTCTCTCTCAAAATCGTTAATTTCTTCCAGACATAAAGACTTATCTTATATGAAAAAACAATTTTAGAATATCTTGAATACAACATCGTAATGATTTATGCTGCTACTTGTAGTATCCGTGCCGTTTACGCGTATTTCCTCACCCATGAATCAATTGGGTCAAATCAATCAAGCGGAGCTGAAGTTATTTTGATGTCGAGTTGTCGAGTTAATTCTATTAATTTATTTATCGATATGTCAATTATTGAGTTGTATATCTTTATTCGTGCCCCACCTGAAGAAAACTTGAAAATGCAACAAACCGGTATAACTTAACTTTAACAGCCTTATTTAATCTGTGTATCTATTACATTAACGAGGACGTTAAAACGAATTGCATTATATGAAGTTTATTACTCTAAAGATATTTGCTGTTATCTTTTTCATATCAGTGCGGAATATCGAGGAAGAATTTATTGGTCAGACAGATCTGATATGAAGGTAACAATATATCCTAATTTACCATTTATTAACAGACGTAACTAAGTATCGTCACTTCCGCTTGATATCTGTTAGGCCTAATTAAGGCAATTAATGCATTTAAATTAGTACATCTTTTGTTCGTTGTATCTATTCTGTGAATGAAACAGATGATTTCTCGTGAATCATATTTCTGAATCAATATAGTAGTGATATTTATCGACAGTCTGAGGATCGAGAGGAGCTCTTACGGCTTTAAACCAATCTTCTACGATCGTAGAATGCTT